TATGACTCCAATTGGAACATTTGGAACATGACTGGTGCTGTGTTCAGCCACAAACAAGTCCGCACTCTGGTGTTGTCAATCAGCCACAGTGGCTTAGCCACACCGTACTATGTATGTCTGTCGTACATGGATGTCATACATACTAGTACATGGATGACATGCATTAACAGACAATGACAGCTAATAATACGAGGAGAAGTATAAAAAGGCATTTCCCCCAACATGCAAGACAAGATCGGATTGCGCGAGCGAGTTGTGTAATAGGGGCGCCCCATTGAGGCACGTGAACCGGACAGCTCATTTCCATAGCAGCGATGCGAGGCATATCCATGGGCGACGGGCTGTCCGTGTCCCCATCGGAGCTACCACCGGAATGTGTTTAAGTGTTGATCGGTCATTTACTGGCAGCCGGCAGCGGCCGGCGCTCCCGGGCGAACCGTTCCCACAGTCTTCCATTCCTCCAGTCCGCACCCTAGTCAGGGGCTGTTGCCGTGAAACGAACCTGTGGAATTAGAGTGGTAATATGGCCCCTGCATCAATGCGATTTCCAGGCCAATTTTGTTTACTTCACGTGATCTCCACTGCCATTTCCCTTCATCTGGATCTCGAGGCCACATCAGACTGACTTCACGCACTCTGACTGACCTGACCAAACCACGAAAAGGGGACAAGAGCCTCACAGCACTCCATCGAGGCAACATGGCGACCAAACGCGATTCCGGCGAGTGGGCAGGCCCGCGACGGCTTCCCTCCGTCAGGGAGAAGCTGTCCGGCTTCGTGAAGCGAGGCCGCGGCCTGGCCAAGAAGTCAACGCTGTCGCTCATCGGAGAGCGCAGCCAGCGGCCATCGCTGGATGAGAGCCAAAAGGCCCTCCCGCGAGTTGAGGTGCAAGCCTTTGGGACGTCAAGTCTCGAGATCGACTTGACCTCGCTCGAGGCTTTCCGCGACGTCCCGATGCCGCCGCCACAAAAGAAACCGGAGCAACAACAGCCTCCACCGACGACCTCATCCACGACCCCAATTGCGGACATGTTCTCCGCAAAAAGGACCCCTCTCACTGAGCCCTCGCCAGCCAACAACTACTCACTCAACAAGTCTTCACCATCACTCATCGATGCCTTGAAGAAGTCCACCAGGGCCGAGGACCGTCGCTCTAGCATGGTCTCGTCGCAGGCGGCTCAGACGTCAGACCCTGCCACCAACGTGACTGTCATCAACCTCACTCACTCAGTACCTCACACCGCGAAGCCATGGCCGCCCCCAGAGAAGCCGCGCGCAGCTGCACCTAATCGCCTACAAGCAAACAAGGCTTCGGACTCAAAACAGCCCGGTAGGATACAGCTTCGCGAGCCCCGGCGCGCCGCATTCGTGCCGTCGGGTCCCGCCGCCATCAACATGCCGCCAATGTCGAGGCCCCGCCTCAATGCCGACATCGCCTCAGAGATCGTTGAAAAGCGCTACTCGACGCCGCCGACCGGACTGTCTTCACTGGGTGCGGCGCCAACTTCCGTTCCTGCCGAGACCATCCGATCAGATCGGAGGAGGTCCTGGCAGCCGGCGCCAACATCAGTGCCTTCAGGCAGCTCAACGCCGTCTGCACCACCATCTGCGTCCGCACCCTGGCGTAACGGACTTGGCAACCGACGCATCTCACCGCGTCTCGCCACGGATCGTCTGGCGTGGATCAAGGAGCTGGAGGAGGGCAAGAAGAAGACATCAATCAACGGCGATCTCCCCGTCCTCAAGAGCGTGCAGGGCAGTGTGGCAGACAAGCTGGCGAGGTTCGAGCAGAAGCAGCAGCAGCAACAGCTGGCACCACTCACCCGCTCGAACTCGACCAGGAGTCGTAATTCCTCGGTGGCGGACACCACCTTTTCCTCGTATGGAGGAGCGGCTACGAGCCGGTCGTCACTGGACAGCCACCGCGCCTCATCTGTGTTCTCGCACTACGATGAAACGTTCCGTGAGAAGATGGAGCTTGTTGCCGGGCGTAAGGGTGATGAGGAAGCTGAGGAGAAGCCTGCCCTGCAGAAGGTTACCACCAGCTTTGTGTCAATAAGCAAGAAGGACAAGCAGGCAACCGTTGACACGGCCCAGGCTGCTGAAGAACCCAAGGGGGCTGAGAAGGTTGAGGATGTTGAGAAGACCGGAGATGAGAAGGTCCCTGACGTCAAGGTCGAGGAGCCCAAGGTCGAAGAGGCTCAGGTGGACGAGCCCAAGGTGGAAGAGCTTAAGGCGGAAGAGCCCGAGGTCGAGGAGCCCCAGACCGAGAGCGTCCAGGAGACTGAGGATGTCGAGAAGGTTGACGATGTTGAGAAGACCGTGGGGGCCGAGAAGGTCGAAGATGTTCACCAGATTGAAAGCAGTGAGAACGTCGAGGAAGTCCAGAATGCCGAGGAGGTTCAGAACGCCGAGAAGGTGGAGCTGGCCGAGGTCGTTGAGAAGGTTGAGGCCGTCGATGTGCCTCAAGTTGTCGAGGAGGTCCCCGAGGTTGTCCCTTCCAAGGATGTCGCCGAGGTCCAGGTTGCGAACAAGGTCGACACCACCGAGCCACGCGAGATCGACACGACCCAGACTGCGGAGGAGCCCCAGACGATTTGAGTGGAGGACATTCTGCGGGGATGAGATTGTTTGCATTTGATTTTTTGACACAGCGAAGGCGTATGTGGAGGGCCCGTCAACAGCAGGGTTCCCTACTTCGCATGATTATTCCCCCCCGACAATCCGGACGGCGGGCGCGATGCTGAGTTCGTCAAGAGCGCTTCGCCAGACCCGGATGTCGACCTGTTTATTGCATAGTTCTTTCACATGATGATGATTAGATGTCGATAATGATCAAATTGAGATGGCCTGGACTTATTGTTCGTTAATTAAGGCATCTGAACTTCAGAAACTCATTCCAACCCACAATGCACGAAGTGGTAAAGCTGCATGTGTGACATTCCTATCCGATTGACCTGGTTATTTGCTCGTGGATGTCTACCTAGGACCGCTCAATGTCCTCATTCCAAGCTCACGCACTACTCACGTTGCATTGCGTACTTGCGCCTCCGTCCTCCCAAGAGTGCGTGACTGTTCTCGTCGAGAGAAAGTGCATATCTTTGCATGTGTATACTGATTGCCAAGATTCGCACGCTCCGAGCTGTGATCAGTTCACTGCATGACTATAGATGCTGTAGAGAAAATCGAGGCTGTCGGTTGTGTTAGGCCTGTACACCTTTACGATGATATCGATCCCACCACCATGCTTTCCCCCCCTGAGGGTGGCATAGACCCCGGATCAACACTCCGTTCACGTTCCTGATCCTAATGCATGGTCGAATCCCATGAGAGCCATTTACGAAAGCGTTATGGTGGTGCACGCAATAAGTCAAGTCAATGTTGAATAACAGCAGCGAGGACGTATCTTAGGATTCACAGTCTGGCGAGGAAGATATGCAGACAGGAAAGTGGAAACACGATTGTTTCCCATGGATGGGATTTCTTAACAGCTTTATGGAAGTATAGAATATGTAGGCTAACGGTTGTAAACTAATATAGTTTATGTCAGAATAGTTGAAGTGTATGATTTGGCAACCGAAACCAATTTTTGAATGCATTTGGCAGTGGAATATCGATCACAGTTGACTTGAGCTGGCTATGTCTGCAGGGCCTCTCAAGAAATGGACATGAGCATAGGGGACGCATATGAATCTCGTCACAGCTCGAGCGGCCAAAACAACAACGACGCTGGGTGAGGATTGTTGATCGTAGGAGTCTGTCACGGTGTCAGCGCTAAAATTAGAACCATCGAGTCCTCGACTAGCGGGTACTGAACCCCAAAAACGGACGGTCGAAGCGCCCCGCATTGAGACTTTTAGCGCAATCCTTCACGCGGCCCTGGGGGAGATCCCGCGGTTGCCTAGCGATCTCAAGTTCCTATCGTCAACAACATCAACCTGATTCACCGTCTGGCTTCAACCGTGACCGGGTGAGCTCGTCCATGAGCCTTCACCGCTGCATTCGGAAGATAGTCTCTGCTGATTCTTTGCTCGAGAAGTCTGAAGTCCCGTTCTTTTGCCTCAAGCCATCGTCTCAGTTGACGTTGTCTCACGGTAACCAAGTCGTCCGATCACCAGGCGCCACCCAGTTCACATCCAACTCCAGCTTGAACATGAGCAGACAAACAAGATCGTCTACGAGAAAACAAAGTGAAGACGCACGTCAATCATCATTCGGTCCACCCGGGTCCATGATTTCATCGACTCCAGCCTCTATCCCAACCTTGCGCTTCGAAAACCAATCCAAATGGGAAACATGGCTGGCAGAAAATTATGCTACCTCATCTGGCCTGTGGGTTCAAATTGCCAAGAAGAACTCGAATATCCCGTCAGTGACCTATGACGAGGCGCTTGATATCGCACTATGCTTCGGGTGGATCGATGGCCAACGCAAGTCTTATGATGAAAGACACTTTGTCCAGAGGTTTACGCCTCGTCGGAAGAAAAGTCTTTGGTCCAAGAGAAACGTGGACAAGGTTGCTAAGTTGACTGAGGCTGGTCGTATGCAACAGTCAGGACAGGTTGAGATCGATACGGCGAAAGCGGACGGTCGCTGGGACAGGGCATACTCTTCAGCCAGCGTGATGGAGGTACCACATGATTTTCAGACGGCGTTGGAAGTAAACGACAAGGCTAGGAAATTCTTTGATGCGCTCAACAAGACACAGAGATACTCATTTCTGTGGAGGATCGAGACGACGAAGAGGCCAGAGACACGGAAACGCAAAATCGGACAGTTTGTGGATATACTCGCTGAACACAAGACTCTTTGATGAAAGCGCTTTCGAAATGTAGGTAGTAATGAAAAGACTAATGACATCTACTTTGCAGCGATTTGGCTCGCATATTTCATGCCTCTGCTCGTGATAAAAGGAATATCGACCACAGGTGCCTCATGGGATACCTTATCCCAAACCTTGTCAATACGGCTGACAATTGCCACCGGCAGAGGTCCTTTCTTCAAGCCGGCGAGATTATCGCCCAGCTGAGGTACCTGCTTGCACCCATTACGATACCGTCTTCATGTGCTGGGTCAAGGGCAGAATTGAAAGCTACCCATCGAGTGGCTAGATCATATCCCGACACACCCGCATCCTGGGCGATCTCATTCCAAGTTGCCAACGCCTCCAACACTGACGGCTTGTTGTACATCTCGTTGTAGAAGAAGCCCTGAGCGCCTCCCTCTTTCCCGAATCGGCCAGCTCCGTCCACGATCTGTTGCTTCGTCTTTGCTAAGAAGCCCCCAGCCGTAGGACTGTAAGCGTAGAAGGAGATGCCTAGTTTGCGTAACGTTGGAAACAAGGTCTTCTCAAAATTTCTGGTCAAGGGATTATAGTTCCCCTGGTAGACGGTTGGAAGAACCCAGCCTTTGGATTTCTGATGGTCGTAGACTCTCTGCACCTCATTGGCCGTGTGATTGGAAACGCCGAAGCGCCGAAAAGCTCCATCTTCGAAAAGCTGTTGGATGCCTGAGAGAGTCTCCTCGATGGGAATCGTAGGATCAGGGGAGTGGAGGTAAAGAATGTCGGTTTGCTTGATATTGAGCTTCTTCAATGATGCCCGAGTTCGCTGAAATACTTGGTCTTTGCGCAAAGAGCCAGGGTCCATAATGCCAGGAATTTTCGTGGCGATGTTGAAGCTTTCTCCAGCTCGAGCTTCACCGAGGAGCTCTTCGCTGTCACCGTAACCTTGTGCGACGTCTATCTCAGTCACTCCCCTCACACGGAGATCTTCGAGGCATGACTTGAGGGCAGCAGGGGTCCAGTTGTCTTTGGACAAGAAAAGGCCCCCGCCAATGATTGGCTTAACTGAAGCCATGACCACGATGAAGACTCAGGGGAAGCTGCAGGACAGCTTGAGTAAAGAGATAACTTCAGAGTGATAGCAGTTGTGCATGAGAGCTCGGGGCCAAGACGGACTTCACGGATATCAGATCTCTCATTTCTGAAATACGAAACCGAGGTATCGGCGGCTTCGGCGCCTACGGCGGTCAACCAGCCGCCCCGGGCCTGGGTTCTTGCGTCCGCGATCTCGTTTTCCAAGTCTCCGTCTGCGGCGTTGAACTCTCTCTTGCCTCATTCTGCGTAATGCAGCAATCGTCAACGCGACTGTCCGCTTAGTGAGCGGAAGCTGGCTACTCATGGTGTTGCTTAAAGTTTCCATGGCAAACTCAGCTTATATCCATTCTGGCGCTTATTGGGTCAAGTCGCCTCACACGGGTCGTCTCGTTGCCGTCAAAATGGGCCTAAACCTTATCTTCAGCGCATCGTCACATTGAGCAGGGGATGTTCCCTGCCCACAGACAGGCGAGTTGGGGCCTGGAAACTGGGCCCTTTGCCAACTGCTCAGTGCTTTTCAGGCCTTAACTTGGCGTTGATACCCTTATGCAACGGCGCCTGCGAGTATGGGATTCTCAAATGCGCTGTTTACCTAAACCCTCCACAATCTCTTCAAGTTTGAAGACGATCAGACGCAGATGAGGGGCTGAGAGAACAAGGTTAACCACGAATGTCCATCTAGCTGTTGATTTACACTTGCCCAATTTACCATGAGCCTCTTGCATTCGTAGAATCAAGATGGAGAAACCTGCCGTACAGTTGCAGCAGACCCAACAGATCCTACATGGAACGGTTTCAACAGCTTCGCCGCCCGCCTGTAGATGCCACGGTAGCAAAGATCCAATGAATGGCGCAACTCGCTTGCACACCGCTCCTTCAGCGGCCTCTGCCACAGCGACCCCAGGCCCCCACAACGGCTATCTTGCCGAGTTGCGTTGCTGTGCTCGGGTATTCGTAGTGAACGAAGTACGGATGAAAACAGTCTGCCAACCAAGTGTATTTTTATAACGTAGATCAGGGTCCAGTTTCCTCTTTGAGGCTCGGGATAATCTCCACGGTTGGTTTGTTGGGAGTTTGCAGTTTGTACGTCGACAATGCAGTGTGATCCAAACCATTTGCTGCAGGGCAGCTTCACACCGAGTCTGAGGCTAACTTTCGCAGAAGTTGAATAGAATCCATGGCCCCAACGAACCCGCCCGCTTCCTTCTTTGCATTCCAAAAGCGCTCCGCATGCGACCGATGCCGAAAACAGAAACTACGCTGCCCAGTCCGAGTTGATGATACACAACACTGCGATCGATGCATTCGAGCAGGAGTTCCTTGCGTCACCGGCTACACGCAGCCCCTAGGGCGTTCTTGTCATGACGTCTTGAGGAGACGGAGCAGCATTTCTAAGACGGCCCGCTCCAGTGGGATAAGGTACCAACCGACCGATCCATCGCCGCCTGGATCCTCCGGATCGCAGTCCACCGCCGAGACAAGGTCCGGCACGTCACTGGACCCGAGTCCGAGAGCCTCGTATTTTGGCGGGTTGTTGTCCAAAGACATTGATGACTTGCACACACTCGCCAACCACCACTTCGACCTGGACGGCCTCGCTAGTTCGTACGTGGAGTCGGAAGCGCTGCTGTCCCTTCCACAGCCAATTGATCTAGACTATCACATGGACATTGGAGATGGTCAAATCCATGATCCACCTCAGTCGCACAACGAAGAAGGCGATTTCATAGCCGCACTTGAGTCTACTACTACTATAGAAGAGCCCAAGGACTTTCGCAAGGAGTCTGAGGCCTTGTCCTGGGCTCAATGCGATCTTCGACTGTCACAACTCAGCGTTGATTTGTGTAAACAAATGGAGGTGTGCAAGAAGGCGGAACAACACTCCCATGAAAGGGACCAACCAGTCGCCGACAAGACCAGCCCCGTTTCCACCAACCGACAGGCCGATCCAAACGCTTTCGGCAATGCCCTCTGCAGCACGTCTGAATTTCTCAACATTTTCCAATGTAACATTAGACGGAGCGACATGACTGGGCAAGGGAGTTCCTTTCCTTCGCCAAGTTTTACCTGTATTCTCAATCTGCTGGCGTGTTATGCACGGATCATAGCCATCTTCGACAGCATGCTACTCGATCTTTACGACCAACTCAAAAAGGGACCAACCTCGACATCCCAATCTGTCACATCAAGAGATCCCCAAACTCTACCAGGGCTTCAGCTCGGAGGGTTCGTCGTCCAACAAGGCACACTACAGACGAAGATACTTGTACAAACAATCGAACATCAGTTTGAGACCATTGAGAAGACACTTGGCCTACCTCTCGAGTTGAGGATCTCGGGTAAACGAGATCAGTATCATGATGGCCTACTGCATGGTGGCATAGATCAAGCTTCACTATCGAGTATTTTGAATTGCTTTGGGGCCATGGATCAGGCAGCGGGCGCTGAGAATAGAACACATTTTGCGGCTTCACTAGCATCGCTGAAGGAAGCTATCGTTAATGTCAAGCGGATTTTAGACACTTAGCGGCAGAACTAGACGATCAACTTCCACAATTAACGGCTTGTTGATTCAATTAAATGAGACCTCGTATCCAGTTTTCTATGATGATAAGGCACTTGCGATAATCATCACAGAGGTGACGCAGTTTTGACGCTCAAATTCAGGGAAAAGAAATCTAACACAGTACATGATGAAACGTGCTACTTTCAAATGACGCGTGTGCATACACCTGACACCGATGTTCAAGCTATCATTGCGCCATACCCTTACTCCCTAATCTTCAACAGCCTGGGGTAATGTGCTTCCCCTGGCTCATCAAACGTCTCAATCAGTGCAGCAACGGCGGGATGCAGTCTTGAATCAATAGCTCTCCGAGCCCGTTCCTCCATTGACAAGACTTCATACGATGCCTCAAAACCATTGTGTTTCCCAATCTCATTCATCCTGTCCATGGGAATAACAATATCGCCCACGTTGTTGAAGTATGAGACCCCATTACCTTGTCTCGGTTCAGCACGGAGCAGCTCCCGGATGATGTCAGAAGAGACACTCTCAACGCGGACGAGGTCAAAAGCTCCCTTGTTGTGGTTTGCCTTTGGTACGGCTTTGATGCGATGGGAGTAGTGAAGAAGAGCGTTGACCCAGTCGAACTCTGCCTCCGCGACACTGGCGTCATCACCGTCGCGTATGATGGTAGAAGGCCGTTGGATCCAAATATTGAGGCCATATAAGGCGTTGACTTTCTCGTGAAGACCCTCGCATACCCATTTGCCGCACATGTAGCCATGAGTGCCATCGGGTGAAGGCTTGATCCCACTTGCTGTGGCCGAAACCTCGGGGAATTCGTCTTGGCCGTACAGCAAGCAGACTCCCACAGAAGAAACGTAGTGGATCGGAATCATGCGTGGCAGGCACTTGCGTACCAAATACCGGGTGGACTCGACGTTGGTTTGCTTGACAGCTGAGTAGTACTTGAGATGGGATGTGTCGGAGCCGTTGTGGATCACGGCGTCAACCTCCCAAAAGATTGAAGTCTCCTGCTCTTCGGTGAGACCAAAGCGGGGAAGCTGTAGGTCACCCTCGTAGTAGACGATGCGGTCGGAAGCAGGTGGCAATCGTCCCTTTTCAAGTCGTTCTGAAAGCCGACGGACTGCGACGCAGATGATCTTCGTGATTGATGGCTGTTCCAAAAGCCGGTTGAGAAGATGGTGTCCAAGAAGACCGCTGCTTCCGGTGAGGAGAATAACGCTGGGTTGCTTTTTCGGAGGATTCATACTTGGGAATGGGATGATGCCAAATGGTGGCGACATCTCGGCTTCCCAGTCGATCCCCTGAACAGTTGCATCGCCCTTGTCCGAGGAATTGCTTCCAGGTGTGGTGATAGAAGTGGAGGGCGATGTAGGCTCAGGACTGCTCTCGGTCGGTGGTGTCGCGATAGTGGTATTTGTGTCACTGGTGTTCCCATCATTGGGAGTGACTGCGCCGTCCCGCGCAACTTGGGGAATCAAGCTGGAAGGAATGCTTTCAGCGGCGATCTTAGCCAGCGTGCCCATCTCAGAGTCGTTGGACATGATCTTCAGCACAGGGATCGAGACTTGGAAGTTCTTCAAGAACCAAGACCGGATATCGACCGAGACGAGTGAGTCCAGGCCGAGATTGACGCTGCGCATGACCATCAAGTCATCGTCGGGTGTCGATATCTGCAAGATGGAACGCAATTGAGCAGAAAATGACTCTGGATCACTGCGTCAGTTCTATCGTAAGTTTCAAAGTGTGTGAATGGACTTACCCTGAATTACTCGAAGGACGTCAGCATCAGACTGACACTCCTGGAGACGGTCTTGGATCGATGCGGCCTTTGTCTGCTGCTTCTTTCCATCATTGCTCGTGGTCTGATGGACGATGAAGTGGGCAAACATTGGGTTGGAGTACCACTTGGGGATGTTGGCGGCGTCGAGAGATATGTCAAGAAGACCAGTCGAGATCTCGGGGCCATTGGGCGAGTCAGGGTTGCCGGCGTCGATAGCCTCGGCGAAGATTTGGTGAAAGTCATCCTCAGACAAGTGGATCATGGCCATCTTCGCGACTGTGACATCGAGTTGACGGTCTGACTCGGTGATGTAGCCCGCTCCAATTATGGCACCAACGTTGATGACGGTGGAAGCAAGACCACGGTTCCTACGATTGGCGGCAACGCCACACATGCCCATGTTGGCGGCAGCATAGTTGGCCTGGCCGACATTGCCAATGACGCAGTTGATCGAGGACAAGAGCACGAAGAAGTCGAGGTTGACGTTGTGGAATATGTTGTCGAGATGGATACTTCCAAGGACCTTGGGTCGGATGACGTCCGTTACCTGGTCAAACGCCATGTTGCGAACGGAAACATCTCTCAGGACCATGGCTCCGTTGAGAACTCCAACGATGGGCGGGAGGGTGTCGACAATGGTTTGGTGTACGGCGCGAAGAGCCGTCTC